GCCTCCCAGGTTCAAGCGATTCTCCTGCCTCAGCTTCCCGAGTAGCTGGAATTGGAGCCACGCGCCACCAGGCCCAGCCAATTTTTGTATTTTTAGTAGAGATGGGGTTTCGCCATGTTGGCCAGGCTGGTCTTGAACTCCTGACCTCAGGTAATTCTCCCGCCTCAGCCTCCCAAAGTGCTGGGATTACAGGTGGGAGCCACCATGTCAGGTCAAAACATGGGCTACTCTTATTCGTTTTTCCTTTTAATGAAAAGTACTCACTAGGCTCGGTGGTTTAAGCCTGTAATTCCAGCACTTTGGGAGGCCGAGGGGGGGATCACCTGAGGTCAGGAGTTTGTGACCAGCCAGGTCAACATGGTGAAACCCTGTATCTACTAAAAACACAAAAATTGCCGGGCGCGGCGGCTCATGCTTCTAAACCCAGCATTTTGGGAGGCCAAGGCAGGCAGACCATGAGGTCAGGAGTTCGAGACCAGCCTGGCCAACATGCTGAAACCCCATCTCTACTAGAAATACAGAAATTTGCCAGACATGGTGGTGGGTGCCTGTAATCCCAGCTACTTGGGAGGCTGAGGTAGGAGAACTGCTTGAACCTGGGAGATGGAGGTTGTAGTGAGCCAAGATCGCACCATTGCACTCCAGCCTGGGCAACAAGAGCAAAACTCCATTTCAAAAAATACAAAAATATGGCCGGGCGCGGTGGCTCAAGCCTGTAATCCCAGCGCTTTGGGAGGCCGAGGCGGGTGGATCACGAGGTCAGGAGATCGAGACCATCCTGGCTAACATGGTGAAACCCCGTCTCTACTAAAAAAATACAAAAAACTAGCCGGGCGAGGTGGTGGGCGCCTGTAGTCCCAGCTACTGGGAGGCTGAGGCCGGAGAATGGCGTAAACCCGGGAGGCGGAGCTTGCAGTGAGCTGAGATCCGGCCACTGCACTCCAGCCTGGGTGACACAGCGAGACTCCGTCTCAAAAAAAAAAAAAAAAAAAAAAAAAAAAACAAAAAAACAAAAAATACAAAAATACAAAATATAAAAATTAGCCAGGCCTTGTGGCGCGTGCCTATAGTGCCAGTTACTCAGGAGGCTGAGGCAGGAGAATCGCTTGAACTTGGAAGCAGAGGTGGCAGTGAGCCAAGATCGCACCACTGCACTCCAGCCTGCGTGACAGAGTGAGATTCTGTCTCAAAAAAAGAAAGAAAGAAAGAAAAAAGCACTTGTCAGACAAGAGCTCCGACTCTGACTCCATGGATCATGCACGCCAGAGACCTAGGGAGCCCCTGAAAGAGAGGGAGGTGCCCTAGAGAACATTTAGCTTTGCGGTCACTGGAGCCTGCCCTCACCAGCCAGGTGACACCAAATGTTACTAGACCTCTCTGAATACCACCCAAGAGCTGAGAAACAGACGCCTCTCAAGATTCGCATTACACATGGACTCAGAATTCTGGGCAGTGTGAGGTCATTCTTTACTCACTGGTCAATCCCAATCTCTAGGAGGTGTTTGCTTAAGAAAACAAACTGATTTGAATATGTCTCACGAGTCTGTTTCCAGCAAGCTTTCCAGAACCCACAGAGGAAGCCGAAATCCCCTGGGTGACAGTCTCTTCATCATCACACCCAAAGACAGTATTCAAGTTCCCTGATGTGGTAGAGTGTCTGTCCATGTCCTCCTCCCACAATAGCTGAGTCCCAGACCTGGACAGTGACCTCACCACCACTCGTGGTGCGCCCTGACCCTGGCCCATTTCACCCCTACTTCCTATGCTCTTCTCATAGCACTGCGGAGAATTAGAGGCCACTAAGTAAGGGCACTGTAGATAAACAAGGCACTATAACGGATCTTAACCAGCAGTGGACACACAGCTTCTAGAACTAGTCTCCCACTGGGGAGCCTCATTAAGTCAGCAGCTGGGATCCCAACAAGCCCAGGGTGAAAAGTTCTGCAGGGGATGACTGCCAGCTCAGACCCACTCTCACTGTGGCTCTATTTCCACCGTTTCCCTGGATTTCCATTCACAGAGTTCCCTGACATAGGACACTAGAAGGGCAAACACAGTGTCACCTGCCACTATTACTCAATTACTTGATGACCACGGTGATAATCTGGCACTAAACTGGTTGTGGCCAAAGCCTGGAGAGCCAGAACCTACTTCCAGCAAGTTCCTCTTTGCCCTGTGTCCCCATTTGAAGAGACTGCTGCTGACCACACCTTGGACCTCAATCCACAAGCCAATCCATTCTTTCCAGGTGACAAGGACGCGTCTGACAGTACTCTCCACTGGAGAGAAGCGCGGTCTTCCACCCTCCCTGGAGGACACGGTGCTACCCTATTGGCTCATCAGAGGACCCTCCTGAACGCCAAACTGAGAGAAGAGGATGACACACACCCTCTCCTCCAGAACGAAGACAAAACCTGGGAGAAGGAAAGGGAAACAGTCCCGTTTCATGGCAAGATCAAATGAGACTAAATCAACGACCCTAACCCGGGGTTTGAACCCAGGTCACAGTCCTCATCCCCAGAGACTTGGTTAATGGGCGTGCCCCCAACCTATCTTCAAATCTCAGGGTCTCGGCGACGCCCTGGACTCTGGCCCTAAACTCTCCCCCATTACTGGTCCACCTGGGACCAACGCAAACTCGGACATGCCCCTCCGCCAAACCCTCAGACCCCCGCCGACCTGCTCCCCGAATAGAGGCCCGCGGGACACCTGGAATCGGCAGCCGGGGTCCCGCTCCGGGTCTCAGCCCCGCCCCTGACTGCGCTGGGTAGGTGGTCGCTGCGGGTCCCGGACAGGCGGGATCACACACAGAGCCCCCGAGCCCACGGCCGGAACGTCAGCCGGGGTGGCGAGGCTCTCAAGCCCCAGTTCGGGCTCTCGGGGAGCTGGCAGAACCAGGAGTTACCACACTCACTCGCGGCCCCACATCCCCGCCGAGACCCAGGCGCGTGACTCTCTGGGCCGTAACACCACCCAGCCCTGCGGTGGGGGTGCAGGCGCCGTCCGAGCGCGTCCTGCACCGCGAGGAGAGCGGAGCCTCGCCAGCTTCGCAAGTCCAGAAACACAGTCCGAGTACCGCAACTCCGAGGTCTGACGGGGAAGCAGGGGCCGCTGCCCGACAACTACCCTTTTCCGCCGCCCCTATTCTGGTGCCCCCCTCGGGGAAGTTCCCAATGGTTCAGACCGCACCGGCTGTGGATGCTGGGGGAAACCATTTCATTAAGCGCGGGAGTATGCTGAAACTTAAAAAGCATTTCGAAAAGAGATTTGAGGGTAAATATAATCAACGTAAGGCTCCCTGTCCACATAAAAGAGAAAAATAAAGAAAAAACGTTATAAGGGGTTGTCAGGCTTTTTTTTTTTTTTTTGCTTCACCAATGGTTTTTATTACATTGCTGATGGAACCCGTCCTCTCCCTATATTGAGAGTATGGAAGGTGCGGGCGACAGCCGTCACGTGATGCGGGGAAGGCGCGGCGCCCGGGGGAGGTTGGTTACGGAACACGGGATCGGTGTGCGCGCGCATGTTTGGTATTCGGTCTTCCTCCCTCAGTACGTCTTTCTTAAAAATGTGAAAATCAGTTATTGAATAATATTCTTCTTTTGAGACGGAGTTTCGCTCTTGTTGCCTAGGCTGGAGTGCAGCGGGGCGACCTCGTCTCACTGCAACCTCCGCCTCCCGGGTTCAAGCGATTCTCCTGCCTCAGCCTCCCGAGTAGCTGGCGTTACAGGCGTCCGCCACCACGCCCAGCTAATTTTTTTGTATTTTTTGCAGAGACGAGGTTTCACCCTTTTGGCCAGGCTGGTCTTGAACCCCTCACCTCAGGTGATCTACCCGCCTCGGCCTCCCAAAGTGCTGGGATTGCTGGCTTGAGCCACCACGCCCGGCCTGAATAATATTTTTTAAAACTTGAGCGCCTATTACTAAATTTATCTACTTAGAAGTTAATTGGAAAGACATTAGTTCGTGATGTAGTGTGGGTCGTTCCAGCGAAGACCGGAGGGAGATGGGAATCGGAGCCTGACCCGCCTGCGCGCGCTGCCCCCTGGGGTGCGGCCCCCTGGGAGCCTTCCGCCGCGGCAGAGGCTGTGGTTGCCGCAAGGTCTCCAGAATGTGCTCACCAGGAATACAATAGAAAAATGGTGGTTGTGTTTTTGAAATCACAGAGGTCACTTTTTTTTTCCTTTTAAATTTCCTTGTTTTGGCCGGGCGCGGTGACTCACGCCTGTAATCCCAACACTTTGGGAGGCCGAGGTGTGCGGGTCACGCGGTCAACACGAGGTCAAGAAATCGAGACCGTCCTGGCCAACAGGTGAAACTCCGTCTCTGCTAAGAATACAAAAAAAATTACCTGGGCGTGGTGGCGCACGCTTGTAGTCGCAGCTGCTCGGGTGGCTGAGTTAGGAGAATTGGTTGAACCCGGGAGGCAGAGGTTGCAGTGAGCCGAGATCACGTCTCTGCACTCCAGCCTGGTACAGAGCGAGACTCCGTCAAAAAAAAAAAAAAAAAAAAAAAATTCCATGTTCTGTTGAAAAAGGGACACGAGAAAAGAACGAAATTACAGTTTGTGTTTTCTGCCGTCTTATAGTAGCCTGGTAAAGATTAAGGAATATGGGGTGGCGTTACGAGGTTAGGCATTGCCTTTATGTGTTTAATTATTCTTACCAAGTGAATTCCTCCCGTTGTTGGACAGCGTAAACTTAATTTGTGTGGAGGTAGTAAGTTACTACAGGGTGATTTTATTTTATTTTATTTTACTTTATTGTATTGTATTGTATTTTTTTTTTTATTTTATTTTCAGTTTGTTAGTGGAGGTCACCACCTTGCTCAGATTATCCTTATTTCCATGGTGATAGGCTACTGGAGTAAGTTTATTCAACCACTGCATTTTCAGTAAAAGGCAATGTGCATTCACCACAGCTGGGCTCAATTTAGGCCATTAACATCTTTCCCAACACCACTGGCTTCAGCCACCTACCTCTTTTGGAGGTACTTTCTCAAACCTATAAATCTTAAAAAACAATTAACAACTGCCAAATCTTTGCCTCAGTGAATTGCACCAAAGGTTAGTTAAATTGGGCTCTCATGGGGTATAAACTTTCAAGGACATGCAACAAAAGGGACATCTTAGAATTAGGAAAATGTACCCATTCTCATGGGAAAGAATCGAAACTCAGCAGTAATGGTCAGAAAGCACAGATATCAATAATGTTCAACCATTCACAACCAAATGAAATGCAATGCTAATCTCAAAGCTTCTATCCCATAGTGGAAATTGTATGAAATGATTCCAGAAGCTCTGGATATGTTACTGCCTGGCATACATAGAATCCAGAACGTGTTTTTTCCACCACTGAAGTAGGCTCAATCAGAATTAAGATTTCTTGATGCTTTTCTGTCTTCTTACTACTGCTAAACCAAGAGGCTTCATTACAGCTAAGTATCCAAACTGATCAATCACTTCCAAGCCATCAGTTGCCAGTACCACAGAGCCAAGTGGTGGGAAAAAGTCACATCTCATTCAGAAATTTCTTTTAGAGTTTTTTATATGTACCCTTAGCCACAGTAGCTCTGATGTAGCTGTAGGATAGACCTGGGCTTTATCTTTCAGTCAAACCACATGTCAATGACTCTTAGTTTCCAGTTTCAGAAAGAAAGAAAGTGTATTTCATTTATAAGCATTTCAATTTAATATTTTTAATGACATCTCATCATTTTAAAGTGACTATAATTGATTCCCTGTTACAAAAATTGTGATCTAAGCTTTTGTTTCTTCCAGCGACTGAGAAAACATTCCGTTTTTAGATGTTTTGAACAGTTTAGGAGTCTGGCCAGCTGCTGAAAAGAAGCAAGCAATGAGTAACATCTCAGAAGGTGAGATTCATGCACAATTTTTTTTTTTTTTTTTTTTTTTTTTGCGATGGGAGTCTCGCTCTGTCACCCATGCTGGAGTGCAGTGGCGCCATCTCCACTCACTGCAAGCTCCACCTCCCGGGTTCAAGCCATTCTCCTGCCTCCGCCTCCCGAGTAGCTGGGACTACAGGCGCCCGCCACCGCGCCCGGCTAATTTCTTTTTGTATTTTTAGTAGAGATGGGGTTTCGCTATGTTAGCCAGGATGGTCTGGATCGCCTGACCTCGTGATTCGCCCGCCTCGGGCTCCCAAAGTGCTGGGATTACAGGCGTGAGCCACCGCGCCCGGCCACAATTTCTTTTTTATATATATATATTTTTGAGACGGAGTCTTGCTCTGTTGCCAGGCTGGAGTGCAGTGGCATGATCTCAACTCACTGCAACCTCCGCCTCCTGGGTTCAAGCAGTTCTCCTTCCTCAGCCTCCCAGATAGCTGGGACTACAGGCACATGCCACCAGGCTCAGCTAATTTTTGTATTTTTAGTAGAGATGGGGGTTTCACCATGTTGGTCAGACTGGTCTCGAACTCCTGACCTCATAATCTGCCCTCCCAAAGTGCTAGGATAACAGGCGTGAGCCACTGCACCCAGCCCATGCACAATTTCTAAATTCAGGTTTTAGGTAATTAGACAATCAACTCTGCACATAAGGCATCCGGTCAGTTGCGAGGTATGAATTATTAGTGGTCCAATAAAGGCGATTAGTATTAATTTAATATTTCTTACCATAGCAATTTCTGTAAGCTTTTAAAAATTAACCTCTCTCCACCAATTAGATTTCATCTGCTATGCCTTTTGTGTTTTAATCTACTGCTAGGTTCCTATTAAATACCAAGTGTAGAAAGTTTAACAGTCAACTATAGAGCCAGTCTGTGGATTCAGACTTAATAAATGTTTTTGCAATTAAAGTTCTCTGATTTCAGCCTTTGATGTCAGGAAAGGATACAGATAGGATTTTGTCTTTGTTCACTATCGTTAAGTAATTCAATTTACTTAAAAAGCCATCACATTTTCTTATTCACAGATACCTGATTTACCTAGTCATTTTCTCTGGCCCCTTTGCAACTGCTCAGACTTTGGTGCAAATAACATCACCTTCCACAAAGTGGGTACTAATTCAGGTTGGAACCCAGAAACTTAGGACTTACAAACTCAAAACTTCATTTTTGTTTTGTGATTTTTGTGTTTTTTGAGACGGAGTCTTGCTCTGTTGCCCAGGCTGGAGTGCAGTGGTGTGATCTCGGCTCACTGCAACCTCTGCCTCCCGGATTCAAGCGATTCTTCTGCCTCAGCCTCCTGAGTAGCTGGGACTACAGGCACATGCCACCACGCCCGGCTAAGTTTTCATATTTTTAGTAGAGATGGGGTTTTACCATGTTAGCCAGGATGGTCTCGATCTCCTGACCTCATGATCTGCCCACCTTGGCCTCCCAAACAAAGTGCTGGGATTACAGGCGTGAGCCACTGTGCCTGGCCGATCTGATGGTTTTTAAAATGGGAGTTTCCCTGCACAAGCTCTCTGTTTGCCTGCTGCCATTCATGTAAGACGTGACTTGCCTCCTACCATGACTATGAGGCCTCCCCAACCACCAGGAACTGTAAGTCCATTAAGCCTCTTTTGTAAATTGTCCAGTCTCAGGTATGTCTTTATCAGCAGCACAAAACTAGACTAATACAGATGACATGGAGAAGATCTGGCATCACACCTTCTGCAGTGAGCTGCATGTGGCCTCACTTGGTGAGCACCCAGTGCTGCTGACCAAGGCCCCCCTGAACTCCCAGGCCAATGGAGAGAAGATGACTCGGATCACGTTTGAGACCTTTAACACCCGGGCCATGTATGTGGCCATCCAGGCCATGCTGTCCCTCTGCACCTCTGGGCACACCACTGACGTCCTGGACTCTGGAGATGGGGTCACCCACATGGTGCCCATCTACAAGGGCTATGCCCTCCCCCATGGCATCCTGTGTCTGGACCTGGCTGGCCAGGACCTGACTACCTCACGAAGATCCTCACCGAGCTCGGCTACAGCTTCATCACCACGGGCGAGCAAGAGATCGTGCGTGAAAAGGAGAAGTTGTGTTGCCCTTTGAGCAGGAGATGGCCACCACCACATCCTCCTCCTCCCTGGAGAATAGCTGTGAGGTGCCCCATGGCCAGGTCATCGCCATTGGCAACGAGCAGTTCCAGTGTCTGGAGGCACTGTTCCAGCCTTCCTTCCTGGGCATGGAATCTTGCAGCATCCACAAGACCACCTTGAACTCATCATGAAATGTGACGTGGACATCTGCAAAGACCAGTATGCCAACACGTGCTGTCTGGCAGCATCACCATATACCAGGGCATCCCCACAGGATGCAGAAGATCACTGCCCTGGCACGCAGCACCCATGAAGATCAAGATCATTGTGCCCCGCCCCAAGCGCAAGTACTCGGTTGGATCGGCAGTTCCATCCTGGCCTGTCTACCTTCCAGCAGATGTGGATCAGCAAGCAGGAGTAAGACGAGTCGGGCCCCTCCATCGTCTACCACAAATGCTTCTAAACGGACTGTGAGCCAATGCGTAGCCTTTGCTGCATAGGTTAATTCTGAAGTATAAATTTGCCCCTGAGGCCGGGCGCAGTGGCTCAGGCCTGTAATCCCTGCACTTTCGGAGGCTGAGGTGGGCGGATCACAAGGTCAGGAGATCAAGACCATCCTGGCTAGCATGGTGAAACCCCCTCTCTACTAAAAATACAAAAAAATTAGCCGGGCATGGTGGTGGGCGCCTGTAGTCCCAGCTACTTGGGAGGCTAAGGCAGAAGAATGGTGTGAACCCAAGAGGTGGAGCTTGCAGTGAGCCAAGATCGTGCCACTGCACTCCAGCCTGGGCAACAGAGCGAAACTCCATCTCAAAAGAAAAACAAAAACAAAAACGTGTCCCTGGCAAATGCACACACCTCATACTAGCCTCACGAAACTGGAATAAGCCTTCGAAAAGAAATTTGTCCTTAAGGTTTGTATCCAATATTAGCACTGGATTGTAAAACTTATTGCTGATTTTGACCTTGTATTCAAGTTAACTGTTCTCCTTGGTATTTGTTTAATACCCTATACATATCTTTGATTTCAACCCTTAGTACATGTGGCTTGGTGACTTCGTGGCCGAGGTAAGAACTGGCTTGTGGAGGACAGGTCGGTGGCTTGGTGAGTCTGTGTGGCCAGCAGTCTCCGATCTGTGCAGTGTATTAATGTGTCAGGGCTGAGTGTTCTGGGATTTCTGTAGAGCCTGGTAAGGGCTCCTGAACCAATTGTTTCTATCTTGCCGGTCTATCTGGGTTAGAAAAGTCCAAGCTGTAGGACCCAGTTTTCTTTCTTAGCTGATGTTTTCCTGCCAGAACACCATGAGCTGCTACTTGTCTTGAGTTGGAAGGAGTTTGCATTTCCACCTGTAAATGTATTCATCCTTTTAATTTATGTAAGGTTTTCTTGTACGCAATTCTCGATTCTTTGAGATGACAACACATTTTGTTTTTTTACTGTTATGTGAGAACATCAGGCCCCGGCAACATGTCATTCTGTAAGGAAAAATGAAAGTGCTGCTATAAAAGAAACAAAAAAATTGGCTGGGCACGGTGGCTCACGCCTGTAATCCTAGCACTTTGGGAGGCCAAGGTGGGTGGATTGCTTGAAGTCAGGAGTTTCAGCCTAGCCTGGCCAACATGGTGAAACCCTGTCTCTAGTAAAATGCAAAGGTTAGATAGGTGTGGTGGCAGGTGCCTGTAATCCCAGCTACTAGGGAGGCTGAGGTGGGAGAATTGCTTGAACCCAGGAGGTGGAGGTTGCAGTGAGCTGAGATCACACCACTTCACTCTACCCTGGGCAACAGAGCAAGACTCCCATCTCAAAAAAAAAAAAAAATCAGGAGTCTCACTGAGGTAGTAGCTACAGTGAGCAGATACCATCCCTTAGGGGTTGGGGAACAAAGGGAAAAGATTGGGATGAATAGAATTTAGAATTCTGAAGGAGGGCACAGTGGGAAGATGGGGGAGGCCTGCCTCCGGCCCCTGTATCTCTAAGGGACTGTGCTGAGGCTGATTCTAGGAGCATGGGGGAAACTGCACAATGGAAGCAGACTTGCCTGGACAATACTGCTCAACAGAGGCAGATGCAGGGAGCCTGTCGCTTTCTCCTCCAAGCTGTAATCCCCCTCCTGCTGGTTTGCAGAAGTCTAGCCCAAGAATCACAAAGCAGAACACAGAACAGGGGATTCAAAGCTGAGACGATTGTGACCAGCACTCCCCTCAAACACTGACTCAGGGTTTGCAGGTACTAGGACAAGGTTCTAAATAATATCTCCCTTTTCAGTTCAAAGTTTCCAAAAAAAAAAAAAAAATGCAGTATTTTAATGAATCTACCTTGGGAAAAAAATTATAATAGCGTCCACATCATTAGCAGCTCACAAGAGAGTTACTTTTCATTTACATAGTCACGACTGACAAGTACTAGCAGTTGGCAGACACATTTTAAGTGATTTTGATTTCAGATTCAGATGAGAAGCTAATTTCGTTTTTTTAAAAAACAGGGTCTGTAATTCATTACACAGGTAAAAGATCATTTGCCATTAAATATTTTGTTTCCTAAGTGCAGGTATATGTAAACAAGTGAAAGTGATGCAACCCACAAATAGTCCTAATTCAAGTGCTGGAGAATTTGACAGTTTAGTTGATGGGTCAGAAAACTACAGGCTTCAGGTCAGACCTAGCATGCTGCCTACTTTGGTTTTTTTTTTTTTTTTTGAGAGGGAGTTTTGCTCGTCGCCCTTGCTAGAGTGCAATGGCGTGATCTTGGCTCACTGCAACCTCCATCTCCCGGGTTCAAGCAATTCTCCTGCCTCAGCCTCCTGGGTAGCTGGGATTACAGGTGCCTGCCACCACGCCCAGCTAATTTTTGTATTTTTAGTCGGTCAGGCTGGTCTCGAACTCTTGACCTCAGATGATCTGCCCACCTTGGCCTCCCAAAGTGCTGGGATTACAGGCGTGAGCCACCATACTCGGCCACTGCCTACTCTTTATAGTTTTACTAGTAACATAGCCACAGTCGCTCATGTACAGCTTTACACTTCCCTGCAGCAACACAGGAGTTACAATAGGCCATATGACCTCCAAAGCCTAAGTGTGGACTCTTCTAGGGTAACGTTTTGTGACTCATGAGGTTTCTTTTTTTTTTTTTTTTTTTTTAAATACAGAGTCTTGTTCTTGTCACCCAGGCTGGAATGCAATGGCACAATCTTGGCTCACTGCAACCTCCGCTTTCTGGGTTCAAGCGATTCTCCTGTCTCAGCCTCCTGAGTAGCTGAAATTACAGGCACCCACCACCATGCCTGGCTAATTTTTTTGTATTTTTAGTAGACAGGGTTTCACCACGTTGCCCATGCTGGTCTCAAACTACTGACCTCAGGTGATCACCTGCCTCAGCCTCCCAAAGTGCCGGGATTACAGGCATTCCACCACACCCAGCTGAGGTTTCTTTTTTAAATAATGAAAATGTGCCTTACCAGACAACTTGAAACATTTAAGAATTGAATGTTTGTAGTAATTTTTTTTTTTTTTTTTTTTTTTTTTTTTTTTAAGAGACGGAGTCTTGCTGTGTCGCCTAGGCTGGAGGGCAGTCACACAATCTCGGCTCACTGCAAGCTCCGCCTCCTGGGTTTGCGCCATTCTCCTGCCTCAGCCTCCAGAGCAGAGTAGCTGGACTACAGGCGCCCACCACCACACCTGGCTAATTTTTTGTATTTTTTAGTAGAGACAGGGTTTCACCGTGTTAGCCAGGATGGTCTTGATCTCCTGACCTCATGTTCCACCTGCCTCGGCCTCCCAAAGTGCTGGGATTACAGGCGTGAGCCACCGCGCCCAGCTGAGAGAAATGTTTTTTAAGGACCAAATTTGATGTGTTTTAACCTGACCACACTCTATTCTGCTCCACACGATTCCAGGGCTAAATCAGTAAATCCTAGTCCAAATTCCTGTTATAGGAGAGGCCCTGAATATAATCAAAATGAAACGATCAGTTTACCTGAAATGCTTCGAGAAGAAAAAGTAGGAAAGCCTGCCATTTGTCTCTTAAAAACTCTAAGTCACGAGGGGGAAAAAAGCCATTTTCAAGACTACAAAATCATAGTGCACACTAAAGGTTGGAAAGCACCTTTGATACCACCTGGGCAACATGGCAAA